TTTTTTTTTTTTTTGTAAATATGGTTTCCAGCACAATCTTTGAGCTGATGAATATCCTGTTACCTTTCTCAAAAAGAAAAAAAGGTACCCATGTCTTTGTTCATGCAATCCCAGAGGTCCTTAATAAGTTATCTTGCGATCAGAAAACTGTTTTATTGTTTAATAACTTTCGGAATTCCCCTTAACCGTCCTACTTCTTTTTTGTTTTTAGAAATTTATTTTTCCTATTTAAAATTGGAATCCCTTGAGTCAGAAGGAAAGAATATAATCTGCTGTTTCTTAATGCAGATATATGATTTTGACCGTGATTACAAAGATGTTGGGGTTGCTAAATTCACAACAAAATATTTTGTTGTGAGAAACTGCTTACCAAATGCCAAGTCTGATATGCTTCTATCAGCATGGAATCCTCCTACTGAATGGGGAAAGTATGCAACAATTTAAGTTTATTTCCTGCTGTCTCTTGCTCCTTNTCAGTTTATTTCTTGCTCCGTCTCTTGCTCCTTTTTACACATCTAAACTGTATAGTGTTTATGCTTCCATTTATATGGGTTGGGGGCCATGGTGGGGTCCCATTTTTACTTCGTATCCATGTTTGTCCTTTAAAGTTTTGTATTGGTATTCTCTCTTAACTGGCAATAGAGATGATTATATCTCTACATATCTTTGGCAACCATAAGTGTTGGTACTTCTACTGGCTCCTCTAATGTACATCTACAAACTGCAAAAATTGAATTTGATTGTGTTGGAGACAACCTTGCATCTGCGACGATTTCTGAGTACCTTGACACAGCTTGCTATACCAGACTCTCTTTCTCTGGTCCACTTAGCTAGCTCCTTTCTTTTTTAAAAGTGGCCTTCTGCACTTAAACCCATCTTTTTAGTAAACTGCTTGTCTCTACTATCTCAGACATAAAATAAATAAAAATATCATCTTTCTAAAAGTTAAAGCTTTTAGATGAGATAATTCACACAATTCAATATGGTATCTTACAATCTAGTCATAGAGGTCCTTGGCCCAAGTCTTAACCCCATCCATCAACATAAAATTTCCACGTGCATGGTCATAAAAGAATCTAGCCCCCACGTTAGGGGACGTGTTACAAACTTAAAATAAATAAAGTAATCCCTGTCTAAGAGTCCAAGTTTTTAGATGAAACGGGTCACACATTTTAACATCTGCTTTGTTATTGATTTCTCTCTCCTAATTATCATGTGAAACAAAGAAAATGCTCCCAAGCACGCTCCCCGAGGCGCCTGAGAACCATGAATCCTAGGATTTCACCACCACCATCCGAGAGCCAACCCTGCCGCGACACTACCCCAGAAAAAATCGCCGGAATCCGACTCCCCACGCGCCGCCACGCACGGCAGAGCTCCGGCGACCCCAACCCACGCGCCGGCGCGTGAGGCCTTTCCAGGCTAGATTTGTTTTTCTTTTCTTCAGACAGCCTCTTCGCGAAGCTGTTCCGACCCTACCTATCCACCAACCTCCAGATTCCGACCACTTTTACTATTTTCCGGCGACGGAGGTGGCTTTTTCTGGTCAGATTTCACTTCCTATCACTTCCTCTTCTTCAGTCAGCTCCCTAGCAAGGCTTTTGGTTTAGTTATGATGGACTCTACAGAGAGAAACTGCTACTTCTCCGTAGAATCTAGAAAATTGGAAAACATGTCTTTCATAAAAGCTACCTCTTGACCAGCCCTAGAACTTTGGGGAAGATGCCATCGAAAGCTTGACGTAGGGCAGGAGCCGCACTTCTCGTTGTCCGAGGAGCACACTCTAAGGCGTAAGGGTTTCTTGGAATCTTGTTTGATTGGGTCTTTCTCCAAATGGGTTGGTTCTCCCGAGGTTGTTAGGAACTGGGCAGCAGAGGCATGGAACGTCAAAGACGGGCTAAAATATCACAACTGGGGTACACACAATATCTCTTTCTATTTGTTGATAAGTCTCAAGCTTCAGAAATTCTTGTCAGAGGAAACAGGTGGTTCGATGGGAACTTCTTAAAACTAGACAGATGGGTGGAGCACGATGGGTGTCTCGATCCTCGTTTCACTGGCGCAATATTGGTGGTCAACATGGTGGGTTTCCTGGTGCATCTTTGGTGTCTTGACCTATTCAAGAAGATTGGGAAATCTGTGTGGGTTTTATCGATGTCACTTGCAGCATACACGATCTCTCGCGAGTGAGGATTGTGGTGAGGAAAGGGGGCAGAATCCCTGTCTCCACTGTGGTGGAGGATGGCTACTTGAGTTATAGGGTTTGGTTGAGCCCTGAATTTCGCCTTATCTTTATGCTTTGTGATAGTGGCGGAAGAAAATGGAAGGTCAAATAGAAGGGAGGGGAGGAGAAATCAGTCTCTGAGGGGAAAGGAGGGCTCACTGGATCACCGGACTAAGCCGGAATCAGACGTTAGATCGAGAAGAGATGGGATGTTTGAATTTAAGAGAGGAAGACAAAATTTCAACAGAAGGAAAAGACGTGAATGGGTTAGTGATGTAGGTCGGAAAGGCAGAATGAGTCGATCCTCTTCTAATTATCATAGGGCCGGGCAAGTTTTTAGCAGGTATCCCACATGGGCCCAGCAACTTTTTCCAATTCTATTAGAATTGATCCTAAGGGGCCCAGATTATTTCAAGCCGCGCCTGCTAAGGCTCTTATGCATATGGGAACAGTCATTACTCCTTCTGCCAATGGTGCTTCTCACAGTGGCATTCCACCGAGCCTAGTGACCTGCGCCCCTCTTCGATGACCGCTGCTTCAGGGGCAACACCGGCTAAAGATGGTGCTGTTATTCCACGGCCTCCCACCTCTAATGGACCAAGCTCCATTGCCCCCTGACCTGAGGTTACACTTCAAGCTTTTTCTTCTTCTGGGGAGATTGTTGAGCATGCTCCAATTGATGTTAGTGCCGGACCAGTATCTCCGGTTAATATGCCGCCGAGGGTTCCATGCTCTCTTCCTTCCGGCTACCCTACTGGCATTTCTGGACATCCCTATAGCAGTGGAGTGTTAATTTCAGAGGTTGTTGCCCCTCAAGGAAATGGTGAGATCCTTTCGGCACCTAAAGTTCCTATTGCTAGCAATGCTATGGTCTTGTATTTCTCCGGTAGGAGCAAGGAAGGGGTACATATAGAAGACGTCTGCCCAATTTCGTCACGGATTGGAGGAGGGGATATGTCTTTCTGGATGGAGGATAAACTATTAAACTTTGGGAAGTTTTTAGGCGTTTCTTTTGAAGGGAAGGAAGATAGGGTGTTAGAACTATTGAGGGAGATTGATCAACAATCCCTTTATGATGGTGCAGGGAGGGAGTTGGGTCAATGTGTTAAGCAAAATAATTCAGAGGATGTAGTGGTGTACCAGAGAAGGGGTTGGGTGTGTGACAAGGAGGGGGAGAGCTCGGCTAGGGGGTGGGGAAAAGGGGGGTATTGTTTCTTATGAAAGTTAAGATTCTTTCATGGAATGTGAGGGGGATGAATGACCCAAACAAAAGGGCCATCATCAAAGCGGGAGTTAGAGAGTGGGGTGCTTATCTAGTTTGTTTTTAGGAGACAAAAATGGAAGTCTTGTCAGATGTGATTGTGAGGAGTGTCTGAGGAGGTAGTTGGGTAAAATATGACTGGGTCCCAGCAGTGGGAAGTGCCGGGGGCATTCTTCTAATGTGGGATGATAGAAGCTTGGAGGTAAAGGAGATTAAGAAGGGAGCTTTTTCTTTAGCAGCTCTTGTCAAAGATAGAGTAAGTGGGGTGGAGTGGGGATTTGAGGGAGCGTACGGACCGGTAGGAGAAGGGTCCAATGTGTCTTTCTGGGAGGAACTGACCACTGTGATGGGGGAATGGGACATTCCATGGGTTCTAGGGGGAGACTTTAACACCATTAGATTCCCGGAGGAGAGATTACGGTGTAATCTGATTTCAAGGGCCATGGAAGAGTTTTCTGACTTCATCAATGATCACTTTCTCATTGACCTTCCTCTGTCAGGGGAAAGGTTTACTTGGGCCAGGGCGGAGGATTCCAACTCAAGGTCTAGACTCGATAGATTCCTGATATCGCCATCATGGGATGAGTTGGTGCCGAATGTGCTGCAGATTCCTTTACCTAGGCTGACTTCGGATCATTTGCCTATTTTGCTAGATGGATGCAGAGGGAGGGGGTACGTGCTCCCTTCCGATTCGAGAACATGTGGTTAAAAGTGCCAGGATTCGGTGACTAGGTGAAAGAATGGTGGACTAGCTACGGGGTATCAGGGACACCTTCATTCCGTCTTATGAAGAAACTTAAATTGCTCAAGGGAGATATTATTAGGTGGAATAAGGAAGTTTTTGGGAGGGTAGAGGTTAAAATGAGGGAGCTTATGCATGAATTGGGGGAATTAGAAAGAGGGGAAGAGGAGAGGGAGTTACATGAATCTGAGAAAGCGACATTGGGGGAGGTTAAGAGGGAAATAGTCGAGTTAGCAATAGCTCAGGAGACTAGTTGGCGGCAAAAATCGAGGGCGCTTTGGTTAAAGGAGGGAGATTCGAATACCAAGTTTTTCCACAGGGTGGCGGTTGCAAATCGAAGGAGAAACTTCATAGAGTCCTTAGTTGTGGATGAGGTGAGGATTGAGGGAGAGAAGGAGGTAAAAGGGGTGATAGTGGGTTTTTTTGAGAACTTATACAAAGAGGAAGTTAGTTGGAGGCCGACTTTGGGGGGAATAGAGTTCAACCACATAGGGGAGGGAGATAGTGAGTGGCTAGAAAGGGCTTTTGAGGAGGAGGAGGTGCACAAGGCTGTGTCGAGTTGTGCTGGTGATAAGGCCCCCGGGCCTGATGGTTTCTCCTTGGCCTTCTTCCAGCTCTGTTGGGATACCATCAAGGGGGAGTTGATGGAAGCCATTGAATACTTCCATGTGAATGGTGTTTTCAAGAGAAGTATCAATGCTTCTTTTATTACTATTGTGCCTAAGAAAGAAGGTGCATCTTGTATTAGAGACTACATGCCTATTAGTCTCAAGGGGAGCATCTACAAGATTATTTCCAAAGTGCTTTCCAGCAGACTTAAGAAGGTCCTTGACGTGACTGTTTCGTCCTCCCAAAATGCGTTTGTGGAAGGTAGGCAGATCCTGGATGCTGCTTTGGTGGCAACTGAACTTGTAGACTCCAGAAGGAAAAATAGAGAACCCGGCTTACTATGCAAGTTGGACCTTGAGAAGGCTTTCGACCATGTCAATTGGAAGTTCCTGGATTTCATTATGATGCGGATGGGGTTTGGGGAAAGATGGAGGGGATGGATCAAGTTTTGCATTTCCTCAGTCAGATTCTCTGTCTTGGTTAATGGCAGCTCATGTGGTTTCTTTGACAGCCCTAGGGGTCTCAGGCAAGGTGACCCCCTATCCCCATGCTATTCATTCTAGTGATGGATGCTCCGAGTAAAATGATGGATCGTGCGGCGGGCGGAGGCT